CCGTGCCGGGGGTGTGTCTCCTCAGGCGCGGCCTCAGCACCGCCCGACTACTGCTGGGCTCCTTGGGGGGCGCGGGGACTCCATCCCCTCTCGGGCCGGGCAATGGTGCAATCGGCTGGGGGGGGAGGGGGGAAGCAAAGGCACGGCAGACAGCTACCAGCAGCCTCCTCCGCATGTCTGCAGCCCTTGGCATCCCCGTACCGTGCCGGGGGTGTGTCTCCTCAGGCGCGGCCTCAGCACCGCCCGACTACTGCTGGGCTCCTTGGGGGGCGCGGGGACTCCATCCCCTCTCGGGCCGGGCAATGGTGCAATCGGCTGGGGGGGGAGGGGGGAAGCAAAGGCACGGCAGACAGCTACCAGCAGCCTCCTCCGCATGTCTGCAGCCCTTGGCATCCCCGTAGGTGGGGCATCTAACTGGAGCCAAATGCTGAATGCAGCAGGACAGCGGAGATTTGCCGAGGAGACCAGTGCAGGGAAGAGCGAAGGTGGCTCTAGGGATGTCTCTCTTTGCTGCCACCAAAACAAGAGATCGGAAAGGCAGTATGTGCTCCTGTACATGGGATACATTTAGTGCGCTGCTTATTAAACATCATTCTCTAGGACCAAGGATCACGAGTCTTGCTAATTACTGGTCTGACACAAGCCCTATTTTGAAGAACCTAATGTAAATTATTTTGGCGTAGTCTTAATAGTAGGAGGCTCATGCCTTAAACAGCTGAGATGTTTCTTGTGTGACCGTGTATGGTACGAGCATTATATAATATATGCATCCATCAAAATGTGTTGCTTCTGATGAATCAATTGCACTTCCCTTTGTGATCCCTCTGCAAGTTGTAGTCACTTGTAATTCATGAGACAGTGAAAGGTTGGCAGTATGTGGTGGATTATTTACTTAGAAACTACTTGGGTAAAGAACTGGGAAATGTTCAGTATTTCCTCTGTTGAATGATTTATGTAGGTATAACTTATCAATTGCAGTTTTTCTGAGTCCTGTGAATTCTTTTGAGGCCACTAATTGAAATATAAATGGTAGTTTTGTTGTACCCACAGAACTGTAAGAAACTTGAATCGCCAGACCCCAGTATCAGTTCCTTTGTTTAAAAACAAATATTTGCATTGACTTCAAGAAGATTTTTAGGAAACTTTTACAAAAGAGGTATAAGAAGAGAGTGTGTAGGAGGCTTGTGTAGCTATAATTACAGTTGTGATTCTTCTCATATAACCCTCTTTTCAGGATCATTATAAACAACCACTCTAAGCTGAAACTGAGCAGTCAGAGTTTCAGATGGGAATTTTTTTTTCCCATTACAAAATTTAGCCCTGATCATGAGTAATTTTACAGGTATAAGTGCTTGAAGGATCCCTTAATTTGCATTTACATTTTTAAAAAATAAGTAGAACCATACTAATTGATGTTTGCTGAGTCCTCTTCCTCCCCAACCCTTCCCTCCAACCAAGGATACATAACCACAAAATGCACATTGTTCACTTTACATTTGAAATAAGATGCTGCAACTGAATGTAAGTGAATGGATCCCTGCATCCATGCAGAACACCACTGGCCTTAGCAGATATCCATGTAGGCACTAGAGTGAGACCTCCCTCCCTTTACCTCCCTCCCCCCACCCCCAGAATTATTGACTGTGCAGATTAGCAAAGTAAAACTACTGAGATCCTCTTCTAAGTATATGTATTGGTTTTCCTTTGGGTGTTTTTTTTTTAAACAGTAGTTAGTACATTGCTCTGAGGACTTTAGTCTCTTTTAGGTGTTTGAGGAAAAAGTGGTACGTGTTCTTTCTCTGAAAGAAGATATTGCTACCTGTAAACAAGAAATATTTTCTAACCAAAAATGTAGGGACTTACATAGACTGTTCATTTGGGGTTCATGTATACCACTTGACCTTATCAAGAGAGAGTGAGGCAGCATAATTCAAAGCAGGACTTTCTGAGCATGGAAAGACCAAGCAGCATGAGAAGAGGAGGAGACCCTGTAGCAGAGTCTTCTGGAATCTTGCTCCAAGCCTTTCTGTGCTCCTGTACTGGAACAATTTGTTCTCACACCTATGATGTGTGAAGGAGTTGGAATTTAGGAAGTTAATGTTGTTGCTTTAAATAGCTTACTCGGTTGTAAATTGAAATTAGTGTCTTGAGTATGTGCTTTATACTTAGTTGTAAATTAAAATCTTTAGAATACAGCAGTAACATGTAAAAGAGGATTTATTCATTATGTTGTTTGTTGCCATCTTGTATATAGTGTATCATGAATAAAGACTATTAATACCATATTCACTAATGGGGTCAGAATTACAGTTTAAACCCTCCAGAAAGACTACCAATAATTATAATGTACTGTAAAAAGAATGTAAGTATTGTAAACAAAAATAGCAAATTTAGGACCTTTAGTCATCAGTTACTTGTGACAATGGTTTTGTCATTTGTTTTGCCTGTAAAATGCTGTGTGCGCACACTCACATGATTTCTTTCTTTATTGACACAGCAAACCAAAAAAAAAAGGAAAGATTTACTCAGACTAGATAACCTTCCTTTAGGTGTTAGCCATTATTTAATGGGGAGACTTAAAAAAGATTTAGAAACTAGTGTAATTCTCTGTCTTGTCTGTATTTCTTTTTATTTGCTCTTTAGTATGTGAAGCAGTTTAACAGTGCTTGATTTACTCTGCCCTTCCTTATTATATATCCAAATAATTATCTGCAGCAGCACTGTTTTCTCTTCTTCTCCGGACAATTAATGACCTGGTCAGTAGTACAGCAGTATGTGCGTGGTGTTGGGGATTTGGTAAGTTTGATTGTTGGACAGTTGACTTGGACACTGGCATTTATCTTTACTTGTTGTCCTCGCCCCCCCCCCCCTTTTTTTTTGGGTCCCTCACTGTTTCAGGTGTTCTATGCTAAAGTCAGTATAGATTTGCTGTACCCTTGTAATTCTTTCTAGACTGCACATGCTTCTACTGTTAAGGGACTGATTAGCTCTGTGAAACCGAGGGCCATGAATTCAAGTGGAGAATAAGTAGACAATGATTTAAATCTGTAATATATTATACAACAATGATAATAGAACAAAGAAAGATAAATATGTTTTGAAATTTCTCCATGAGGCTGTTCTTAGGTAATGTTCAGACTGACACAAAACAATAAAACATTATTAGTGTTACAAATGTCTGAATGCTGTCTGATAGTAAGGATGTTAGCATATAGTCAAGTAAATGATTAACCAGTAAGCCTAGGCTTATCGGTTAATTCTATCAACTATATACACTGCCCCCCTCCACCCCCCTTCTGCCTCTGTCTGTGGTGAGCCTGGGTCCACTGCAGGTAGAGGTTGCTCTGCGGCTGCAGCCCCTATGTCCCAGAGTGTGGGGGAGTCACCAAGCCCTGCATCCCCTTCCATAGCCAGATGCCATTCTCAGCCAGCAAGTAGAAGAGAAGGTTTATTCGTTGACAGGGGTACAGCGCAGCACGAACTTATCACAGGAACCAGAAGCAGTTAGTACAATCCAAATTGGGGAGAGGAGGGCCCTCTCTGCATCCTCAACCAGCCAAGAGGACTCCCACATTCCGCAGCCAGTCCCAACCCTGCAGGCTGCCCCTCCTCCTCCTCCTTTGTCTAGCTTCAAAAGGTGTCACCTATTGAATCTTCCACCTAGGCTCAGGTTACAAGACAGTTTGACCTATTGTGTACTGCTAAAATGGGGCAGCATCCCCCTCAGTGAGAGCCACACCTGACATTCCCATCCCCAGCCAGGTACCAGTGCAGTGCCCAGGGAAACTGAGGCACACACACACAAGGTTACAACAGAACAGCATAAAACAGTAGCAATCACAACATAACAAAGCAAACATAGCAAACACAATCCCCACTACATCACATACTGTCTGCGGAGGGGAGATGGGGTGTCCGAGCTTCCTGTGGACAGAGGCTGCTCCACATCCTGCAGAGCAGCCTTTGTCCATGAAGAACTCATACCCCTCATACCATGAAAAGCTCATACCACGGACAGGGGCTGCTGCTACCCTGTGCTGCTGCATCTGTAGCAAAGGCAGCCTCACAGGGTGGCACGCAGCCGGTCTGTGAGCAAAGCTGGTTTTTAAACCAGTTTCTGCCTGCCACCTCACGCTGTTGCCTCTGAGGGAGAGACAACAGCACGGAGTAGTAGGGGACTCCCTGGGAGAGGAGCTGGACTGCACTGCACTGGCTACTGGCCCTGTCCCCACGGACTTTCAAATAATCATATAACCACTAAAAATTCATGTGGTTACATGAAAATTCAATTACACAGTATCTAACATGCCTACCTGATGGTCTCTAAAATGTTCTTAAAATTGTATGGGATCTGGCTACACTTCTCTGGCAGAGTGTTTGTTATTTTTTAACTGTCAATAAGTATCATTAAT